CTACATTGGAAGAGAAAATTGATGCAAGATGCACAACTCCAGCTATGTGAATTGTGTAGCTGGAGCTGACAAACCTTGCCCCAATTTTCTGGGGTGGCCCCACAGCGGGAAGTCAGTGGAAGAAACACTCCCATCAATTTCTCCTACCAGTGCTCATGGAGGCATCCTCTGTGTTGGATTTAGTGGGTCTTTACTAAACCCTTTAAATAAAAACCCAGAGGATCATTCACCAGAGTGGCAAATGGAGACATGACCTGAGATGGACCAGGGCACAAAGGGTGATTACAGTTGAGCAATCAGGTAGTAGCCAGCACATAAGGCAGAGTCACAGAGCTAGGGTAGCAATAACATTATATAATTTTGGCAGACTGAAACTCTAATGTAAGCAGATGACTTTGCATCACTCTGCATGTTGGGCATCACCTGACATAGCTGAGGTTTCAGATTTTTCCCAGTGTATATCCTAATGAAACAAATTAGTGAACATTTTAAACGGCTGTGCCTACTGGTCCGTTGCACTGCCAGTAACCCTCTGGGTTTATTTTTCAAATTAATGTATTATCCCAAGTGTCCAAATATTTATTTCTAGAAAATTTACCCAGTGTAGCTTGGATCCTCAACTCCAATGAGTTTTGTTTTTCTTCATTGAAATCATTGCTCTGGGGTGGGGCTAGGGATGAGGGGTTCGGTATGCAGACTGGACCAGGATTAGAGGACTGTCCCAGCCCTCTCTCACCACAGCAGCTTGGGGCCAGATGAAAAGTGCCTGCCTGAACTTTGGCATAGCCAGGGGAGGGGTGCATGTCCCCCACCTGGTGGCAGACAGATTTACAGACAGACAAACTCTCTGAAATTTATAGTAGCTAACTGTCCCTTTCTCCATCCTTGCCCCCTGCTGGCCAATTGGGTTATAGCTGTCCTGGTCCCCATCTCTGGCCCCTTGTTGCCCCCCTGTGGTCATTCAGCGATATAACTGTCCCTCCTACCTGACCCCTCCCACTCCATTTTGTGAGACACAATCAAATTACAGGCACATCCCATTGTCCTGGCATAACCGAACCCTGGCCTTGCTTTAAGTTATGATAAGAGGAAGCTGCTTCATAAATTTGGTGGTCCTAGCGCCTACCGTTTAGAAGACTTTCTTGAGCAGATTCACAGATGAACAGACACACGCGCGCACACACACTCAGTATATAGTAGATGGGTTTATTTCAGATAATAAAAGTATGCTGCTAATGCGAAAGCCTCTTTGGTTTTCTTGCATTCATAAGAACATAAGAATGGCTATACTGGGTCAGACCAAAGGTCCATCCAGCCCAGTGTCCTGTCTGCCAACAGTGGCCAGTGCCAGATGCCCCAGCAGAAGAGAACACAACAGGTAATCCTCACATGATCCCTACCCTGTCACCCATTTCCAGACAAACATAAGCTAATAGCCATTGATGGACCTAACCTCCATGAATCTATCTAGCTCCTTTTTGAACCCAGTTCAAGTCCTAGCCTTCACCACATCCTCTGGCAAGGAGTTCCACAGGTTGACTGTGCGCTGACTGAAGAAAAACTTCCTTTTGTTTGTTTTAAATCTGCTGCCTATTAATTTCATTTGGTGACCCCTCGTTCTTATATTGTGGGATTAAGTAAATAACTTTTCCTTATTCACTTTTTCCACACCAGTCATGATTTTATAGATCTCTATCATATACTCCCTTAGTCTCCTCTTTTCTTCTGAAAAGTCCCAGTCTTTTTAATTTCTCTCCATATGGGACTCGTTCCAAACCCCTAATCATTTTTGTTGCCCTTTTCTGAACCTTTTCCAATGCCAATATATCTTTTTTGAGATGTGGTAACCACATCTGTATGCAATATTCAAGATGTGGGCATACCATATTTCATATAGGGGTAATAAGCTATTTTCTGTCTTATTCTCTATCCCTTTTTTATTCTATTCCCAGAATGCATTGTCTGGGATCCTGCTTTAAACTCATGCGTAAGAAGCTAATAGTTTTATTTCCATTTGGATACTGTCACTAAGAGTGATGTGAACTTTCAACTTTGTTTCTATACATCCCACAATCATTTAATAACGGAGGTGAACAATAAATGTAGTGTGTGTGTGTGTGTGTGTGTGTGTGTGTGCACATGCATGCACGTGGAGAGAGAGATTGAGAAATAGCGTTCGCCAGGATTTTCTGGCTCCTGGGATATTGAGCAAAATCAACTTATTTTCAGGTGCCAGGCAAGATCTTGCTCTTTCATAACAATTGTTCCTATGGAGGTGTTCTTCACATTGTGTTCAAATCAGGCCCTTTTATTTGTTTTTGGCTGAACAGGAAACGTTCATATTGTAGTGACATAAAGCACAGTGGCACACCACGGAGCAGTCCTAAGTCTTGGAACGATTCCAGCCACTCACTGGCAAACCACTCTTTCAGATTAGTCATGCCTGACAGAAATCCAGATAAATTGGGAGGGTGGGTTTGATTGGACATTGAGAGCAGGTCTTGTAGATTTCCATACAGAACATTGGAGACAGAATTATTCGGCTTGGAGTGAGTATACAGTTAGCTAAAATAAAGGGGCACGCTGTGTGGCTTGTGTGGACCCCTTAGGTCCTTGCCTGGCACTTGGACCTTGTTACCATGACGTAACTGTGGCAACCCTGCTGGTTCAGAGCAACACAATGCTGGTTCTATGGAAGGTTTGTAGCACTATCCTGGGGCTTCCTGTTCCTAAAAAAATTCCTTGCAAGCTTTATCTAATTCATTATTTTTAATGAAATCCATGGGCGATATCCCCAGAAGGTCTGTAGGAGCCTTGACAGGTAATCCGTTTGTAAAGGAAATGTGCTTTTAGGTAATATAAGTCCTTGTCAGCTCTTCAGATCTGCTCATATAGCTTTCTGTGCAGGCACAGTATTATTGCTGGTTAGGTTACTCAGCCCCTCCAGTGTTTTAATCCTCTTTAGGCCACTGTTCTTGGCAATGGTTACATCTACACTGCACGCTTATTTTGAAATATGCTACTCTGTACCCCTCTGATACTCTGTAAGAAATACTCCAAAATAGCTTATTTCAAAATAGCACAACTACACTACAGGGAAGCCTTAAAATTAGTCTGAGACAGGCTGCCCTACTGTAGATGTGCTACCTTGACTTAGAGCCCCAGGAGGCACTGGGGAGTAAGTACTTAGAATGGCCCTGGGGTGGAGCTATTTCGAAATAGCAGCACTGGAGCTATTTTGGAAGAGGAGTTATTCCTTTAGCTTGGGGGGGGGGGGGCGGTTGGTTGTTGCTTTTAAAGGGGAGGAATATAAATGTTAGTTATTCTCCATTATACCTGCTTGGTATTCAGTCTTTTGCCCATCACGTTAGATTCCACTCTCACCTTGTACAATAGCAACTGGCTCTACTACTAATACATATGGGGCCATCCTTGGGATTTATGGGGCTCTACGCGGTACTATTAAACTGGTGCCCCTCTGCCCGATGGAAGCTGGGGAGGGGGAATTTTTAAAGATGTGATTTGATAATCTTCAGCAACACACGAATGAAACATTTTTAAAGCAAATTTTAAACCCAGGTTCTGCTGACTAACACAGTCAATTCAGAAACTGACCGTACGTAGGTGGATTTGACAAATGTTCCTTGTGAAATGGCTTCGTTACCACTGGAATGGCTCTTTTGCAGGTTCAATGTACTGCTAATAACTCGGGCAGGCTTTCCCACTCTTAAATTAACTAGCTCCTTTCCAGAGGAAACAGAGCCACAGACTAGGGATTGGAAGAGGAGGGTGGGTGGACATTAAGACCCTGCGGTGCCCCAAACTTTCAGATGCTCTACGCCAGTGTTTCTCAACCAGAGATGCTAGTACTCTTAGGGGTACTCGAGAGAAGTTTGGGAGGTACGTCAACACAACTGAAATTTGGAGAAAACTGAATTTTTGTGTTAAGTTTTACAGCGCTTTATTATTTTTGTACTTTTTACACCCAAAAATTTCATTGCCCACCCAGCTACTATTAAGTTGTTTAAATAAATGTGTTGCAATGGTAGAAGAAAGAGTTGTGAGTCTGAAAACTGTAGTTACAATTTTATTTTATTTTTGAAAAAGGGGTACTTTATATATAAAAAAAAAAGGTTGAGAAACACTGGATCTAGCCCATCCCCCAATGCTGAGGCAGGACCAAGTATATCTAGATTATTCCTGATAAGTATTTGTCTGAACCAGTTCTTAAAAACCTCCACTGACAGGGATTCAACTACCTCCTCTGGTAACCTGTTCCAGGGCTTACCTATTCTTAGAGTTAGTTTTTCCTAATAGCTAACCTACACGAAACCTGTTACAGGTTGGACCTCTCTGGTCTAGCACCCTCAGCACTTAACTGGTCCCAAACGAGGGACTTTGCTGTACCAGAAGAGGTCCCCTGCTACTGGCTCCCTCCATCACCTTCCCTCCCTGCTGCCAGTTCCAGCTGCCCCCCGTACAAGCTACCATGCTGCTGTGGCCCTGGCAGCCTGGACTATCTGGGCTGCTGTGTCCCTGGCGCCGGCCCCACTACTGGGGCTGCTGCAGCTGCTG